ATTATATTTATTTTGCAATCTCAACTTGGTATGTGTTCGTATTGATAATAATTTCGATTACACGTGCAAAAACTTTAAATAATAATTTTCATCGTCACAAGAAAACTCTGTGAAATTACATCACCGTAACTGCAACCTTTCTCCAGTACACACCTTAAATTTTTTTCCACCCTAACAAGAATTTAATAAAATTATATGAAATTACGTACTTCACGATCACAGATGAGTAGAAAGATTTATCAATTTTACTCATCATAAGCTGTAGGCCAAGCTCCGGAGGTTGTCGATGAACGTATGTGACTTCCAAACTATCATGACACAATGTCTCGATAGCTCAGACGGTTAGGGCTTATTATGTTTTTTTAATGTGATGGATTATTCTGTTTCAATTTCTTAGTATAACATTTATTTAAATTTATGTACGTTGTCAACTCTTTGTGTCGAATACATCAAAATAAATAATTTTTCATTTCTGTGTTACGCGAGATTGAGAAGCTGGTAAGGAGGTGAGTCACAAAAAGAACTCAACTCGTTGGTCAATTATTTATTAGCTTCTTGAAGGCAAAGGCATGTGTGTGTCTCGGGCGGTGTTCCCTACTTATCTACTGTTTAAATCACTACACCATATTTAAAAATTCTAAAAGTCGAGCTAATTGCTGTAAAGCTACTCGAGCGTCTTTTAGGCAAGAGGCCGGGCGATAAGTAGGGAACACCGCGTGAGACACATACATGCCTTAACTTTCAAGGAGCTAATAAATAATTGACCAACGAGTTAAGTTCTTCTTGTGACGCACCTCCTTCCCAGCTTCTCAATCCCACGTAACACAGCATTGAAAAATTATTTATTTTGATGTATTCGACACCAAGAGTTGACAACGTACATAAATTTAAATAAAAGTTATATTAAGAAATTGAAACAGAATAATCCATCATATTAAAAAAAAAAAAAAAAAAAATAAAATGATTGTGACAATGAGAATCGAACCCAGCATTACAAAATAATCTCCCCATAGGTGTAAGCCTTAACCATCTGAGCTATCGAGACATTGTTTCATGATAGTTTAGAAGTCACATATGTTCATCGACAACCTCCAGAGCTTGGCCTACAGCTTATGATGAGTGAAATTAATAAATCTTTCTACTCATCTGTGATCGTGAAGTACGTAATTTCTTGTAATTTTATTTAATTCTTGTTAGGGTGGAAAAAAATTTAAAGTGTGTACTGAAGAAAAGTTGCAGTTACGGTGATGTAATTTCACAGAGTTTTCTTATGACAATAAAAATTATTGTTTAAAGACTTTGCACGTGTAATCGAAATTATTAACAATACCAACACATACCAAGTTGAGATTGCAAAATAAATATGATAATTCCAGCAAGCCCCAGCGATGTTTAGGACAAGCTTTGGAGCTTTGTTAGAAATATAAGTGACTTTTGACTGTAGCTTACACAGCTTACCCTTAACGCAGATGGCTCGCATGCAAGTTCGTCGTTTCGTTTTTGCATTCTTCGACTCGACTCTTCGTCCATGTGATCTGTTTTTTTTTAAATCACTTAAAGGCCTTATTAATTATTTATTAACTTTTTTTACTTGAAGTCTCCTATTACTATAATAAGGTAGACACGTAAGTAAAAATTAAATATTTAATAAGGTAGTAAAAGTTAATTATGGTGCACTACTAATTTGATTTTTGCCTGTTGCTACAAAAAATAAATTAAACTTAAATTAGATATTATTTTGAGACTTTTTTCGTTTGTGCATGAATTTTTTATTGTTTTTCAACACTGCTTTCCTTTTTAACAACTAAAATGACACGAAATAAGCTATCGCAAGTTTATCACAGTGCACTACTTAATTGATTTTCGCCTGTTGCAACAAAAAATAAATTAAACTTAAATTAGATATTATTTTGAGACTTTTTTCGTTTGTGCATAAATTTTTTATTGTTTTTTAACACTGCTTTACTTTTTAACAACTAAAACGACACGAAATAAGCTATCACTGAAATTCAAAATAAATCTGAAGAATTATTATTAAGTTATAAGAAAAATTTTTATACGACATCCTATTTATTATTTTTTTCTCGAAATAGCAAAAAACTTATTTATATGAATCGAATAAGAGTTAAATGAAGAAATATGTATAAGATACAAAAATACAATCTGGAGCTTATTGGACAATGAAAATAAAATTATTTAAGGTATTTAATATTTAATTTAAATTTAAATTTCTGCATAAGTATTAATAATAATAGAGTTTGTCGAGTAAAAAATACAGAATAACCAGTAAGACCACTGAAACAAAAAAAAAGTCATCTTCCATACTGAGATTCGAACCCGAGAATGCAAAAACGAAACGATAGACACGCGTGCGAGCCACCTGTGCTACGAAAGCACTGGGAGTTTTAAGGTCGGAAGTTAATCATGTTTATGGTGAAGCTCCGAAGCTTGTCCTAAATATGGAAGCTCGCTATGATTATACGATTTATTTTGCAATCTCAATTTGGTATTTATTTGTGTTAAAAATAATTTTTATTACACGTCCGAAGACTTTATTTTATAATTTGCATTATAAGATCATGTACTTACAATACATAATCCAGATCGTCCGACGTTGCTATAATATGTAGAGATAAGTGCGCGTGTAATAAAAAGTTATAAGATAGCGTTGTCCATAAGCGAGAAGAGCAGAGAGATTTTTCACAAAATTTTTTAATCATAAGAGGGAATTAAAATAACAAAGTATCATAGTTTATGTAAATAGTTAATGTAGGCGTTTAATGTTAGGAAATTTCCGAATCCTCGATAGCCGAGTGGTGAAGCGTGTTTGTGTCACACGCGGGCTCTAGCTACCTGGGTTTGATTCCACTTGTCTGCAGACTTTTTTTTGGATACTAATGTATATTTGAACCTGGAGTGAGTATGTGTGTACAGAAGAAAACCGACTTGTTTACGAAATAATTTTTGATTTAAGTTTAATTTTTAAGTACCGTGGGATCAAAATGAATACTTTAAGAACTCTTTATGGATTAAGATTTTAAAAAAAAGAACTCTTGGCGAACTTGTAAAGAATTCAAAAGAGGTGACATAAGTTAAAAATTATAGGTATACTCTAAGAACACTTCAGGAACACTTTGCGAACACAAAAACAAGTTCCTCGGTCAATTTATAAAGAATTCTTTATAATTTGTGGTTGCCGTCTGGGTTTACTTTGCCTCTAGTATAGGTACTGCTGTTTTTTTTCTCTCCTTTTTTCATTTCTGTATACCTACACCTCAGTTTGGGCAAGTTCTTAGTTGTAGAGTAGAAACTTATGTACTCACATACCTATAATACATGTAAAAATGTATAGGTATAGTAGCAGTGTTAGGGGAAGGGAGCAAGCGGCGTACATGTAAGAAAAAGAGAGGCGGAACAGTAGACAGTAGAGTGGCACGCGCTGCAAAAGAGAGAGATGGAGTGGGAGAGAGTGTATAAGAAAGAAGGTTAAGGAGAAGGCTTGGGCCGCAGGGTGGGTGGCTACGTTTTTTTGTTATGCATATTGCCTCATGCGGCTGTTCACGGCTCAACATAAGAAGTTTCAATTTAAAATTTTGTTGTGTGATCTTTAAAATTATATTTATTTTTTAGTAGGTTAGCTCGTTTTATGTGTGAATTTTTTAGAATAACAAAAATTCATCAATTTTGGTCAACTTTCGCTTAGAATTCTATTTTAGTAAGATTAAGAATAAACATTTGTTTTTTTATTACGTATGAAATTACAAATTTCATCTGTTTTAGTACAATTGTTTTTATTTATATACATTGACACTTTTTTCTGATATTGATTTTAGTATTTTAATAGCAAAAAATTGTATTCATTGAATAATTTTTTTGTTATTTTAAAATATAGATGGTATTTGCACTTTTGGCTGGAGTGCCAATTGTTGGCATAAAATATTGGACTTCAGTACTGGAGGCTATTGATTCTAAAAGTAGTCTCCCAGATGCTAACTTATTTACACTTTCATTACAAGATAAGGGTATTGGTACACGACGTGTATCGCTTCAACCAAATTCTAAACGTAAACAATTATTTCAAGGAAAAAAATTTATTATTTTTTCTGAATGTACCTACAATAGTTACGAAAAAATGATTCGATGTGCAGGTAAGAAAAATTAATACAATACTTAAATAAAATAAAAAATTTAAGAGGAGATATTTGAAAATAACCGATGTTTTAGGTGGAGTACCTGAGCTGCACGTTGTGGATACAAGAGATATATTGAATTTACTAATACCTAATAGTAATCTTATAATTCAGTTGACAAATGCTGATAATACATCAATAAATCCAAAATTGTTGAATTCTAAACTAAGTAAGTTCATAAAATTTAACATAGAAAATATTAAATATTTTTTTTCTTATCTAGTGTTATCAGTAGCACTCAAAACTGACATTGATTGAAATCACCTTGAAAATTAGGTTGGATTCAAATCATACACATCCATACACACCTAAATAAATTTGTTTTGTTTGTACGTTTGCACGCTTATCTTTGTACGCTTTGTAATAAATTATTTTACAATTTTTGAGTTCATACAACTCAAAATATGCTAAAACACCAAGAAATAGTACAAAATCCTTTTTTTTCTTTTTTTTTAATAATATTTTAGAAATCAATAAAATTTAAATACATGTACAAACACAGCGAAACTTGAATTTCCTTGAATAGAAATGATTACCGAGACACGGGCAAACGGATGGACTGACTGTAAGACATTTTTACTTTAGTAGCGTATTTCAATTTTAAATTTAAAAAAATACGTTTCTAGCATTTTTTTTAAATGAAATTTTTCTCCGAGACACAATCTCGGAGATCAATCTCTTTAAATGAAAAAGTAGTAATCAAAGTCATGTCAATTAAGATGACAAAAAGTTACCTCACCTCCTAAAGTTTCATGAAAGAGATCTAAAACTAGTAACATTTCTATTAGTAATAATATTTCATTTAAAACTAAAAGCTTTTTTCTGACTCATTCTATAATACTTGAGCTTTCGTAATTCATGTGCTGTAAGCTTTAGATTTTATGTGAAACTCTTGATAAAAAAACAAAAACTACTACTTCATTAGGTAATGAATTTAGAGAAAAATGCATTTTTGATAAACAATTGAATCGTATTAAAATTGTTTAATTTACTTAATTACTGTTGATACATTGATTCATATCTATGCTCGTCCATTAAAGAATCCTAATTTCTTGAACTCGCAACTGTATGATATTAGAGGTGCTCTCCGAATTTTTTATACAAAAACTCAATTTTTATTTCTGCATTCTATAATAAAAGTTCGGATACAAGAAATCTGTCAATATATATGTAAAAATTTTAAAATTTGAAAATTGAAACTGTAGAGGATACTGTAATAATCCATAAAGATGAATTAGTAGACTCAATATATACGAATACTATGGGTGACAAGGATCGACTTTCTGCTTAGCAGTAATGTTTTTTTTTTAATCTTTTGATCAAGGTGGTTTTATTTATTGTTGTATTGGGTACAATCAACTATCACGATTGTGGTAATAATACAGTAACATTGTTTAGTTATAGTAAGATCTTCTCATTGTATTTCTTATTTAAGAATGCTTGAATACTATCAATGACCTGTTACACTATGAAAAATATTCAATAACTTTTATGTTACAATGCAAGGATTGAATCGTTGCATAATTTCGCACTAAGAGAGCATATAGACTATGTATTTTTCATCCTTCTATACGTTTTTCGTTGTATGTTACCCTCGGTAACTAGTTAAAAGATCAAGTTTTAATTGTTTTTCTAATAAAGCATATTGTTAATGATTATATTAATCTTGTATTGCTTGGATATCGATAGACTCAAGCTCTTTAGAGTTTCTGAAACGTCTTTTATCACTTTAACCTTATTTCCTTAAAAAAACTTTCGAAATAGCAACATTTTTCTTTGTACTTAATCATGAATTATTACGCAAGTTTAATAAATCCAAGGCTTTTCTAGCGTCTCTTTCGGTGCATCCAAATTCTTCCGTTAAATTGCGTCAATTTCAAAATTTCTGGGCGAGTGAGAGCAGCGTAATTCATTCCTTCTGATCATTCGACAATGCAACCTTTTTTTTTTGCTTTACACTGTGATACCTGCTTTAAGGTATTTATCGTCGTGGCGTTTTTCCTGATTTTTGAGTTTGGGAGCCGAAATTTTGCGCTGTAAGCACATTATAGCCTTATCTTAAACGAATGGAAATTTTTCTTTCAACGATTGTGGAAATTTCACTATACTTTTGTTAACGTGATGATTCTCTTTATTCAAGGGATTACAGCAGACAACCATCTTAAAAACTGATTATAAAAAGTGAAATATAACAATCAAATAGCTGGCATTCAAGGATGCGTTACCATAGCTCTGTTTCAGATCACTATAATAATAATACGTATTATAGGCAAATAACTTTATAAATAGACGGAATTCAAAAAAAGTGCAACTTACGACTGAAAATAAAAATGTCCTGATAATTATAATCAAAGAGTATCAACAAAATACAAAAATAAAACTTTTTCTAATTAGTATTTAGGTTAGGCGTACTTTTTTCTACTCGAAATAAATAAAATTAATGCCTCGCGGTGTGAAGCAGCGTTAGGAGTGGCGACGGGCTCGTAGCAGCCACCCGTACCGCCCGGTGACTCGCACCTATACATTCATCGGTCCAATACATAAAAATATCAAAAAACTTCTCTTTTTTTATTGTCTATACTTTAGAAAAATTGTCTCATCTTTCGATCTAGATGGTTTAAAATTCTAAAAATTGTCATCACGAGATTTAACGCATTCCTACAAACATTTGCATCTTTGTAAGTTATAAAGTGAAAATTTGTGAAAACTGATAGCGCCATCAGAAAACAGAAAAAAAGTGCATTGGAATTTCTGCTTTTGTGATTTTTCAACTATTTTTCTCAGGCCCAAACGACGAGTTGAAAAAGTCATCTTTTGCGCTCACAGAGCCTGTCTGCGGTGGCGCTGGGGCAGTTGAGAAAATTCTCCCCATGTATAGTTTGTGTATCCATGAAAGTTTTAAAATAATTTCTTTATTGAATACCTCTTTTATTTTTTCAGAAGCCCTCTGATGGATTCGATCCCATACAGACGGTATTTTTTTTANAATATTGCACAACAAAATTTGCTATGTTAATATTCTTGAATACTAGTGTTAATACTACTTTTAACCAAAATGTCTCCCAATAAAAATAAGGTAAAAATTAATAGATTCCTTTTTGAGTAAACATGTTTTTCTTGTTTATTTATTTATTTATTTTTTTTTTTTAAATAAATTAACTAATGGAAATGCGTACTTAAAAGAGATTTTGACAAATTCATTGTAAAATTAAACAAATCCAAGAAAAACTTGCAGTTTTATATTTTTTTTTGGTGTGTTGAAATTTTTAATTATGGTGACTTTATTGGGATCAGGTCTTAAACCTTCAATGCCTAATATATGACCTAAGAAAAAAATGTTCTGATCAGCATAGTTTGATTTGTCAAATCTCAATTTTAAATTACAGCTGTCGTACTTTTCAAATATTATTTCTTAATGTTGTAAGTGTGTTTCAAAACTTCGAGATATTATGGCTAAGTCGTCCACAAAAGATATGATAAAATCTTCAAGGTCGTAAATTACTTGATTTAAACCTCGTAACGGAGATGTTCTTTTTGTCTTAATACCATTAGCCATTACATTAAATTTTATTGTCACTTATGAAAACCGTGCATTTTTTACTCTCTTCGCTTAGTGGGATTTGCCAATAACTACTGGTGAAATCTAAATTAGAAATAATTACCTACGTCTTGCACCGTAGGAATAATTCTTTAACACTTGGGGGAGCTTTATAATTATACAATAATTTTTCATTTACAAGTGTCTAAGCATATTTCTAAAGTCCCATCTTTTTTAATAGTTGTGGCCATGAAATTTGTATAGGGGCTTGTTGATTGTCTTAATACCTTACATTCTAGCATTTTATCTATTTCTTTTCTTATGTGTTCTCAATATTTCAGAGGTATTATTGGATAGGGTTTGGAATAGAATGGATTTTTAGCTTTAAGCACAATTTTGTGTTCGTATTTTTTGAGTAAACATGTTTTTCTTGTTTATTTATTTATTTATTTTTTTTTTTTAATACGCTTAGAATTCCATATCAAATCNTTAATACTACTTTTAACCAAAATGTCTCCCAATAAAAATAAGGTAAAAATTAATAGATTCCTACCTTATTTGGTAAAGTGTTGAGCGGAGGTAGAAGGGGGGGGGTACGCGGCGGTTGCATGGAATGACCCTCCAATATTACTATATAATTTAGGAAGATAGTGATTACTTATCATATGTATTTTCTGCTAAGCAGTATCCGAGATTTAATTTGTATATTTTTTTAATTATTACTATATCTGATTATACAATTTTTTAACAATTAAGGAATAATGATGAAAACCAATTTTATTTCCAAGCTCCTGATCTAAGCATTTATCAACATTTGTATTTTTAAACGCGTAGAGCTCTCCCCCAATATTTTTAAAAAAAATTTCTGTAATGGGTAAAGTAGGTGCATTTTGAAAGGTGCTGATATTATTTGATAGAATACTTTCACACACAAGTTATTTCGCTTCTCGTGCAAATCAACGCTGTTATTTTCAATCCATTTGATTCGATATTAATTTCTGGATATTTCATAATTTGATGGATGTTATATTTAGTCTATAGATCATACATTAAATCATTTCGAGTGTCTTCAAATATTGAACTATTTAAGTAAGTTGCGTTGAATGTTACTTTGTTTCGAAAATCTGATTTGCTAAATGAAACTACTCGCGTTTCCCGAATATGTAAGAAATCTCGTGTTTGATACCGGTTCGAAACTCGTTTTGTTATTAGATTCTATAAATTTATGACTTCGTCGGATATTCCATAAAAGTAATCATAGTTGTTCAATGGTTTTATATAAGAGGTAATATTTATTACGTTAACGTTACTGTAAGAGTGTTCACGTAATGACTGTTAGTTGGATAGAATTATTAATAATTTTCAACGTTATTTGAACGCCGTGCTCTAATAATCAACCATAGATCATCATCAAAATGGTTAGCTAGCAAGTAAATAAAATCAAAGCTAGCCAAATCTATTTTTAAATCTTTCGTGAATCCCAGAATATTTACAGCGTAATCAACACGTTTTAACTTTTCTTAATTGTGATATTTGCCCGATTGTGCTTTGATTCTTATACATTTTTTGAATATTGCCGTTTCAACACCAGTCATGAAATTGTTTCAAAAAGCTTTCCACGCTATCTATTT